GAATATATGTGTATGCATGAGCATGTGTGCATGCACATGCGCGTGTGTGCATGAGTGTGTATGTGCGCGTGCTGATGTGTACACACTCAAATAACAGCATAGCACCTGTCTAGCCTGGATTCTGCCTCAGATGAAGATTAGAATGGAGTGGGGGAAGAATGCCATGCCCACTAAAACAAGAAAATAGCAACAAATAAATAAAGCCCAATTTTTTTTCTCAATGCTACTGTAAAGCTCTGAGTGCAGTGAAGTATAACATAACCAAGCTGTAGAGTAGGATGGCCATCCCTCCATGAGCAGACAGGGTGCTTGCATTCTTGGGGACCAAGTTGCAGTCTAAGCCTGTGTGATCGATGAAAGCAGCCAGTAGGGGGAGCTGCTGGGACAAGAACGCAAAAGAAATTGTGTAATAATCCAAGATGCTGTAACTCTTGAACAGCCAAACTCAGTCTTTCTAACTCTAAGTCTTTCTGAATTCTCTTACACTGTACTCTGAGTGAATAACGGTTTGGAGGCCAAGGGCAAAAGAGAAATAAATTCTGTATCCCAAAACACCTATATTCCAATCTCTATGGGGAATGATATGAATATATCCTTCAAAATATCAGAAGCCAGAGATAAGCAAAAACTTGGAGAAGAAAAGGTTTCTTTCTCTTACAGTTCCATATCATAACCATTGAAGAAAATCATGGCAGGAACCTGGCCATGGAGGAGTGCTGCTTACTGGCTTGCTCCTCATGGCTTGCTTAGCCTGCTTTCTTATAGAAACCGGACCATCAGCCAGGGGCAGCCCTACCCAATGGGCTGGGACCTTGCCATCAATCACCAATTAAGAAAATGTCCTACAGACTGGTCAAATCTTATGGAGATATTTTCTCAATTGAGATTCCCTCTCTCAGATGATTCTAGCTTTTTATCAAGTTAACATAAGACTAGCCTTCACAGTGCATGTTGAAAAAGATATGAAGAAATTGATGCTAGGGTTTATTTTTGAGAAATGCTTTCAATATAAGGTCCAGGCTAACTTGGGTTGCTAGTGTTTTCTGAGTATCCCTGGAGACTTCCTGTGTGTAAATCTACCGTCTCTTTATCACAGCTCTAAAGAAGTGGTTAAGTCAGAAGAGCACAGCTGTGCAAATGAGAAGCCAAGGAGCTGAAATTCCTCTCTTTGAGGTTCTTTGTTTGTTTGGATTTGCTGTTGTTTTGTTTAGATGTTTTTCTAAGAGTAGGTCTCACTAGGTAGCTGTGGTAGTTTGAATAAGAATGGTACTCCTAGGGACATATTTGAACGCTTGGTCACCAGGGAATAAATAGCACTATTTGAAAGAATTAGGAGGCATAGCCTCATTTGAGGAAATATGTTAATCAGATGGGTTTTAAGGTTTCAAAAAGTCCATTCTAAGGCCAGAGTCTCTCTCATCTGCTGCCCGTGAATCCAGATGTGGAACTCCCAACTACATCTCCAGCACCATGTCTGCCTGTATGCCGCCCCGCTTCCCACCATGATGAAAATGGACTAAACCGCTGAGATTGCAAGCAAGCCCCAATTAAATCTTTTCTTTTATAAGAGCTCTGAGGTCCTCTTCGGAGCAATAGAACAGTATCTAAGACAGTGGGCTTGCCTGGAACTTTCTATGTAGACCAGGCTGGCTTCAAATTCAAAGAGTCCCTCCTGCCTCTGCCTCCCTAGTGCTATTATTGAAGAACTGGTTAAGATGGACAGTTTGTGAAAGGAAGAACAGACCGTGGCTGGGAAAGCAGCAGAATGCTTGCTCTGCACACACAACGCCCTGGGTTTGATCCCCAGCAGCGCAGACACATTTAAGAAATAAGAAAAACAACAGCGGGGATAGAGAAAGGACTCAGGGGTTCAGAGTACCACCTGCTCTTCCAGAGGACCTGATTTCAATTCCTAGCACCTGTGTATCAGCCCAGACCTGTCTGCAATTCCAGTCCCAGGGGATTTTACACCTTCTTCGACCTCACTGGTCAAGCATGTGGTACACGTAAACACATGTGCAGGCAAAACACTCACACGTGTAAAATTGTAAAAAGGGAGGGATGGAGGAAGAAAAGAACTGTTCCAAAGACAAAGAAACAGAGCTCTACAAATCCACAAAGATGCTAACTGAACCACTGGAAGGTGCCCAGAAAAGACAAGAGATTCGCAGAAAAGCCGAACCAATGGCAACTCCAGCTGCTTGGCTGTGTGTGCACATGAAAGGAGAACAGAAGTCCCACACAATAAGAAGCCAAGTGGCCATGGTGTAAAGAGAGAGCATCCTGCCTTCCAGGGAGCCCACGGCATTCACAGCCTCAGGTCCAGATGTGGCGTTTGTGGGTGCTTGGTGGGAAGGTCAAAAGTGCAGAGGAATCTGGATTGGCATTCTGCATCTGACTCAGGGCAGTGGCCAGACACCCTGTTGAAAAGACTCCTCCTGATTAACAGTAAGCTACTCTGCATCTGAGAACAGGGAATAACAAGAAAGAAACCCTAAACTTCTGTTGCTGTCACCCCACCTTGATACAGAGTAGAGAAAGGCAGATGTAGAGAGCTACAAGGGTAGATCCTGAGAGGCTGAGAAGTGCAGGCCTCAGAGGCTCTACTCAGGCGTGTTCCTGCCATTATCAACCAGGAGTCTACCTCATCAACTGAGAGGAACCCGGAAGTCTGACAGCGCTGAGCCTGCAGTCAGCGGGTGGACCAACATCTCACATCACCCATCTGTCACACACTGAAGAGCTTGAGGACTCTGAAGGGCCTCCCTCCAGCAAGGTGATTAATACTGTTCTTTCAAGAACAAAGACAGCGCTTCCCCTGCGCAGACTTCATGCTGTAGTTACTTCCCACATTCCCAGCACAGTATAGGAGAGCGTGACCAACCTCAGGAGACCCGAAACCTGCCCACTCACAAGCTACAATGCAAAGGGAGGCCAGCAGAGGCTCCTGGTTCTTAAGTGAAGACAACTATAGTCTCCATAGGACAGTTGTCCAGTGCACAGTCAGTAGCAGCATCAAGTTCAGGTCACGCCCACGACTGTGCATATATCCTGCAGTCCCTATGTGTTGAGGGCCCAGAAAGGAAGCATTATGATACTCTTTTTTACCCTTTCTGTTTTCCCTTTCCATTCTAATCTTTATGTTAGTATATTTTTAATTAATCTGTTTATATCCCAACTATAGTTTTCCCTACCTCCTCTTCTTTTATCCTCTCCTCTAAATCCCCTCCCCCCCCATCCACTCCTCCTCTGTTTGTATTTAGAAAAGGGAAGGCCTCTCATGGATATCAACAAAACAGGGTATATGAGTTACAGTAACACTAAGCATCTCCCCATATATTAGGGCTGAAGAAGGCAACCCATTATGAGGAAAGGGTCCCACTAGCTGACAAAAGAGTCAGAGACAGCCCCTGCTCCCACTATTGGGAGTTCCACAAGAAGACCAAGGTACACAACTGTAACATATACGCAGTGGACCCAGGTCAGTCCCATACAGGCTCCCTGGTTGTCGGTTCAGTCTCTGTGAGCCCCTGTGAGCCCAGGTTAGTTGAATCTATAGGTTTTCTTTTGATGTCCTTGACCTCTCTGGTGCCTACAATTCTTCCTGCCCCTCTTCTGCAGGATGCCCTGAACTTGGCCTAATGTTTGACCATGGGTCTCTACATCTACTTCCATAAGTTGCTGGGTGAGCCTTTCTGATTGCAACTGGGGTAGGAACCAATCTATGAGTATAGCAGAGTGTCATTAGGCGTCATTACACAGACATTCTTTCCCCAGTCATGTTTGGCTCTACCCTAGGTCTCTGGACTGTCCAGTCTCTGGGCCCTGGTGCTACAGGCAGTGTCGGGAGTGGGCTCTCTCTCGTGGTAGGGGTCTTAGGCTGGACCCTCAATCTCTAGGCCTCCCTTATCCCAGCACATCCCAGAGGCAGGCAGACTGTAGGGTGAAGGTTATGTGACTGGGTAGGTGTCCCAATCTCTCCTCTGGAGTCCTGCCTGGTCACAGGAGATGGCCACTTCAAGAAATGCATCTCCGACTGCTAGGAGTCTTAGCCGGGGTCATCCCTATAGATTCTTTAAAAAAAAAAAAAAATTATTTATTATGTATACAATATTCTGGCCAGAAGAGGGCACCAGATCTCATTACAGATGGTTGTGAGCCACCATGTGGTTGCTAGGAATTGAACTCAGGACCTTTGGAAGGGCAGGCAATGCTCTTAACCTCTGAGCCATCTCTCCAGCCCATCCCTATAGATTCTTGCAAGTTTCCCTAGATTTCTACCTCACCCGAAAATGTCCCCCTTCTCCAGTGGTCTCTTTCACTACTCTCTCCCTTTACTCCCCCCCCCCACCTAATCTCTCATGTTCCCATCCCTCCCACCCCAAGTCCACCCACAAAATTTATTCTATTCCCCCTTCACAGGGAGTACTAAGTGTCCCCCCCCCTTGGGCCTTCCTTATTACCTAGCCTCTCTGGGGCTGTGGACTGTGCATAGTTATCCTGTACTTAACAGCTAATATTCACTTTTAAGTGAGTACATACTGTTTGTCTTTCTGCGTCTGGGTTCCCTCACTAATGAAGATCTTTTTTCTAGTTCCATCCATTTACCTGCAAGTTTTCTGGTGTCCTAGGTTTTAGCAGCTGTGTAATACTCCATTGTGTAAGTGGACCATGTTTTCTCTATCCGTTCTTTGGTTGAGGGATATTTATGTTGTTTCCAGGTTCTGGCTGTTATGAATAAAGCTACTATAAACATAGTTAAGCAATTAAAAGCCTTTAGTCTAGTTTGAACTTCCTCTGAGGTAAAAGTGAGTTAATTGTGTGCAGTTAGTTTGAACAATATCAAGCTTTTAAGTGTCTACAGTCCTCATGGGACAAATAGATCTAGTTATGAAGCATGACCTATTGTATAATTATGATTATATATATACATATATATATATTATAAGTAAAAGAAAAGTCATCTTCTTGACCTCCCACAGACATATGTGCTTATAAGACTGAGCTGTAATCTTGAGATTACATATTCACATCATATGAGATTACACACTCGAATGCAAGTATTGTGGAGATACCAAGCTGCTTTAGCAAAAGCAAACAACAGATTCCAGAGTTGATGGTCCTGCAGGCCTTGCCTAGACAGGATTAACCTCCATCAGAGTCACTCCTCTGGTGGGTTGACATCTGAATTATCCATTGTCATATGCTGTATATTTCCACCGCCTCCAACATGACAAGTTAGCATTCCAGAATGAGCCTACCGGCACAAAGAAATTGCATATTTACACTTAATTAAGAATCTTCTGAGTAGGAGCTGTAGACATAGCTCTTCATGTAAAAGAACTTGCTGCTCTTGCAGAGGACCAGGTTCAGTTCCCAGCATCCATATGGTGGTTCACAGTCATCAGGAACTCCAATTCTATGGGATCTGATGCCTTCTTCTGACTTCTGCGGGTAGCCTGCATGCCTGTGGTGCACAGGCATACATGCAGACAAAACACAAAATAAATAGACAAGTCTAACAAACAAACAAAAAGGTTCTTCTAAATAAAGCATGGTCATGTTTTTTATTCCAAAAGAATGTTGCCTGCCATGAGGTCACTGACATCACTGAACTGGGTGACAAGGAATTGGGATATTATGTGCTCTTAGTCTATAAGGAATACTGATCATTTGAAATAAAAGTGACACTTGGAGAGTTAGGTGGGGAATGGGGTAGAATGGGGTGGGTGGAAAGAGGTAGGAGGTAGAGAAAATGGAAAAACAGACATTTAGAGAGATAGAGACAGCTTCTATCGTATTCTGTGGGGCTCAGCTTCTTTAAAAGCTAAGGAAGAGGATAGACCAAGAGCAAGGCAGGGGGTTGTGGTTTTGGAACCTTTTCCTTTAGGAAGAGGCAGGGTCTGACACAGCACTCCTTGGGAACTACAGGGAGCAGGACTGGGCTGTGCACACAGAGCCCCCTTTCCACCAAGCAGATGCTCTGGAAGTCTGGTAATCCCGCCCACTCTTTTGCTCAGTTTTTCCTTGGCACATGCCCATGTGTTAGTTCAGGGCTTATTCATTGCAACACTTCCTGGACACCCCTGCTCCAAGCCTCTGCTCCTTCCTGGCCCTCTGGAATATCCTCCCACCCATCCCTTTCCTTCCAGTGTTCTACCACTCTGCCTGGATCTCATTGACATACCCAGCGCACTGCCGCAACTCTCCCTGGGGCTAACTTTAACTCCTTAGGGTTCTTTACATCTCCAGTCACTGAGTGTAGAACCTCACTGCCCTCAGCATCAGACTGTGAGAGCCAAATCAAGGTATACCCATGAACTTAGACACTAAACAATGGGCTGATTGCTAGATAAGCTCCAGATACAAGCTAATTACAGAAAAGAAACCACAATCATTCCTAAAATGTAAGTCTTCCTAACCACACCTAACTCAGGTGTAATATAATATAGGTAAAATTCATTTCAACAGTGTTCATACTGTATTTTTTTTCTACTTTATGCCAACAGTCTTTTTGATCTATGTCTGTTTTTCAGTCTACAAGGACAGCTATTAATGTGTTTATATTTTCAATGTCATGTCAGTATACACTATAAGAGACGGTCTGATCAGACCAAAGATGTTCATTTTTAATTATAAAAATGCAATTATGGTAAAGAACTGTGTTTCATATAGCTGAATGACCTAGAAACTACTGACTGCCAATGTTGTAAACGGTTGTCTTTGTGTGCCTTGCTCATATAGCCAATCTGCTTTCCCATAATTTTCGGATCCTTTTTCATACCATGATGTTGATATTAGTTGTGGAATGTTGTGGAATAATCTTTCTGTACATGTAGAGATGTGCTGCTCTGATTTGTTTAATAAAAAGCTGAATGACATAACTAGGCAGGATTTCTTGGCAGAGAGGATGCTGGGAAGGAGAAGGTGGAGACACCAGGAGAGGCAGAGCAAGTAGGATGGGCAGTACGGAAATGAGGTAATAAAACCACAAGACAGAAAGCAAATTAATAGAAATGGGTTGTTTTAAGCTATAAGAGCTAGTTAGGAACAATCCTATGCTAAGGCCAAGCTTTAAGTATTAATATAAGTCTCCGTGTCTTTGTGTGTGTGTGTGTGTGTGTGTGTGTGTGTGTGTGTGTGTGTGTGAGCTGGCAGCCCAAAGAAAAATCCATTTACAGTGGAAACAGGAGACTCCCAAAACAGCAACACAAAGAAGAACCAATCAACTTTACTACAAAATTTACAGCTCTGGGTATGGGTGAGTGGGAGCCTGAAAGAAGCACAGAGCCTGTCTGGTCACCTCCCATATGTGTTGTAACAGGTCCACGGCTATGTGAGTCAGACGATCTCCAGCTTCACTCTGGTGGCTGAAGTCATGAGAGCGGTGATGATCTTCATTGCAGATGAGTAATGACAGGCAAATGCACGAGGCGTGTAAGAAGAAGGAAAAGAAGGGCCCATCTGTCTCACCCCGTTTTGTATAACTATAGCTGGCTGCATATCACAAAATGAGTAAATGGCAAAAATCAGAAATGCATTTCTCAAAAGCCCAAGATCAAAGTGACTGTGCCTGGTATCTTACTGCTGTGTCCTCACAGGGCAGAAGGTGAAGAGGCAACAAGAGCAAGCTCTTCTCCCTGAACAAAAGACAGTGAACCCACCCTAAAAGCTCTCCCTAACAGAAGGGCTCTTTAATCCACACATGAGGTCATAGTTTTGGGGACCTGAGCATCTCCAGCTAGGCAGCTCCAACCACCACAGTCATCTGAGAAATTTATTTTCAAGCAATATAAACAGCTAATGTTTAGAGAACTAATTATACTACATCTCATTTCAACTCCAACTGGAGAATGTCAGGTGAGTGTATGATTCATTTCTGACATTGGCAGTGCAGACTTGGTAGAGACTCTACAGGTTAAAGACAAAGTCCTCTATAAGACAGTCCTCACATCCAACAGTCAGGTCCCCAGGATAGCCTCACTTCTTAAGGACTGTGAAAATCCAAAGACTCCATTACCTCCTTAGATCGTATCCTTTGCTACAGCAAGTTATTTGCAGTAATATTATATTTTAAAGAACAGGATGCACATAGCTACATGAAATGTGTGATTGCAAACCTATAGGGAGACTGAGCCAGAAGAATTCAAGGCCAACTACTGCTAATAACTGAAGTATGAATATTAAAAACCCAGAGGCAGATACTGGGGTTCAAGCTGAAGATCAGAAAAGCAAAGCAGTCAAGTGACTAGAGAGTTCTTACCTCTATGATATCTTCAGACTGAAAGAGAGGGCTGTTTGGTTTAATCTTAAGAAAAGCCATTCCACCGACACAAATAACTCCAATTAGACTAGATTAGACCAAATTAAGACACCCGCATTTAATAAATGCAGCACTCTCGGGTGTATGGAGAAAGCATAGCGGGGAGAGGAGCCCACGCATATCCCAGAGATCACATGTTCCTTCTCTGGGTGGCCACCTAAATACCCTATGGGAGTGGTCCTGACCCTCCCCCAAGGAGGGATTAGCACTTGGCAGGCTGGGAGTTGAAGTTTGGATCAATGCAACTCCCAGACTAGGGAGTTATAAGGGCAACTTAATAAGGGCAAGTTCCTGTCTCATCCTGCTTTATATTCCTCTCTGGTGCTGGGATTAAAAGCGTATACTATGACCACCCAGCTTCTATGGCTAACTATTGTGGTTGCTGGATTTAAAGGTGTGTGCCACCATTGCCTGGCCTGTATGGCTGACTAGTCTGGCTGTTTTGCATTGGGGTCTTCAGGCACATATTGTTTATTAAAATACAAATGAAATATCACTACATTTTCCCTTTTTGTCTAAAATAAAAAGGCTATAATTAATGTAAGAAAAACTATAAACAATAAGCACAATAACTATATACAATATATAGGCAATAAGAACATCAACAATATCTAGACCATTTGCATTTGACAAATTCAGAGAAAATACTTCATATCTATGCTATCTTGGTGAGTCCAAAGTCTTGGATCTAATTTACTTTCTATCATAACTTGTTTTCTGTGTATGATAAACAAGGAAAACTATAACTATCTAGTCTTTTACTCCCTCAGAGACTCAAGAAGCAATCAATATTAACTGAGTTAGCAGGAATTACAAGCAAGTGACTTCAAAAAATTGAGAGAAATGACAGAAACAGCTAACTGTCTGGACAGTCACCCAAAGTTTCTCTGCAATGTTGGGGCATCTCCATCTTTGGCCTTTTAGGTCTAGCATATCAAACAGACTTTTCTGTGAGGCAGGATATTCTGCTGTTCTGCCTTGTCTTGACGGTGTTTGGCAGTCACTTTCTTTTGTGTTCTGCTTGTCCAAGTAGGGTAGCATACTGTCAGCATTTGAGGCAAGGACATTTTCTTGCCCAGTAGCTTACTTTTGCCACAAAGAAAGTAAACTCCATGTGGTGTTTCTTCAATGCCCATTATCTTCTCTGAAGTAGATTGGTGTTACCAGGAGCAGACATGTCTCATTATCATAGAAAAGAACCTGTTATTAAAACATTTACAGTCTATATTCTGTAGATCTCTGAAATGTATGAAGATGACCTGTCTATCTAAAATATATCCTTTTTCTTAAACTTTGAAAACATACCTAATGTGACTGCAAATTCAATTATAAAAGGCAATTTACTACTAACCTACATTTCCTTATTATCCTAAATAGTTGGCAACAAGGACTAGAAATTTGCATTACACTGTCAAATGAGTTTTATAGTTACAATACCTTGAACAAGTCTAGAAATATATATAAACTATGATCTAACAAAATTAGTCTCAATATACAAAGCTTGTATATCATATATGAAAGAACAATCCAATATAAAACATTTAAAACTAGCAGTTGTTCTTTAAAAATATGTCAATAATCTAACCTTTTATTCTATCATATCTATATCTCCCTTTTTTCATTTCAAAACAAGAACCTTGTGTCTAATTTACTTTGTTCAACTTTCCTCCTGGCCACGACCAATAACCATTTGTAACCAACTACCCTAAACAATGACAAATATCCATAACTCATTGAATGACCAAAAACTGCCCATTACACCTCTTGGGAATGTGGGCGTTGTTATTTGCTGCTGTCTTGGGACAAAGGTATCTTTGGGGGACCCTGAAAAGAAAATCTGGGTTAACTGTCTAGTTGTGGGAGAGGTACTGTATCATTCGTTGTCCAGTTTCTGCATAATAGAAAAGTGCAGGACTAGAGTAGTCTGTGAGACTGAAATTGTTCTGAAGGAATCTTTGCTCTGGGGTCCCATCCTCCTAATGGAGACTTCAAAAGTCACTGGTAGACGTGCTCATAGTTCACTTCAAAAAACTGACAGAGACTCAACTACAACATCATGTACAGGAAGGCAGATGAAACCTTTTTCTGATATTAGTTAAAACTCTCTATGACAATTAATAACTTGACAAAAAGTTTAATATAAA